TAATAATTTTTTTTAAAGATTATATTTATTTATTTTAGAGAGAGAGTGAGCTCGAGTGGGGGGAGGGGCAGAGAGAGAGAGATGCCAAGCAGACTCTGCACTGAGAGTGGAGCCTGACATGGGGCTTGATCCTGGGACCCTGAGATCATGACCTGAGCCAAAATTAAGAGTTGGACACTCATCAACGGAGCCATCAAGGCACCCCTAGCCACCCCATCTTTAAATGGAAACAAATTTCTACCTTATTTATTTTCAAGGAAGGTATTTTCTTTGCCCTTATTCTGCAATCAGTAGTTATCATAAAAATATTTATGGGTCTTTGGCTCACCAGTATTTTTGGTAAACAAGGAATGTAAGAATATTTAGATTATAATTATTCCAACCACAAAGGGTTGTCACAGGTTTTAACCTTAGTACCTGCTCTTTTCTTCTGTAAGTGCACAGTACAGATGCTCATTTTAAATAGTAGCGATGCTATCATTGACTTTTAAGTAAACCATTGAAATCTTGGTAATTGCTTTGCCACTTTGAGGCATAATCTTTTTGTTAATGCAACAAAAAACTTCATTAAACTCAAATCTTATAACAATATTGCAGCATTTCTTATCTTTTTCTGGATAAAAGGTGTTATGCTCAAAAGGCAGGAATTCGGTGATCATTTTGGATCTGCTTCCACTATCCCTAAAAAAAGAGACCGAGAGAATTTTTGGTCCTTTAGACCATCATAAACAAACTTTTGATAATATTTGGGACTGTTGCTTCTGTGTGGGTATTCTTGCTTCATCCTAAATTATAAAGGTTTACATTTTCTTGTACACAGATCTGTCAACATCGATTGGCCATGAATTTAATGTTCTTTGTAAATGCTAGTTTCTGAAATGATGGACTATTCAGTTATTCATATTACCTCTATTCTGATAGATTTTAGGTTTTCATCAGATCTGTCAAGAAAAAAAGGTCATTATAAAAATGAAGATGAAAATTCATATCTAATAAAAAAACTTTTTTTAAATTTTATTTTATCATGTTATGTAA